TCTACGCTTGTTATAACCACAGTTTTCAGAATATTTGTTCTCCTTTCCTACCCATGTACACTCGAGCCCTTCGTGCGTCACTGGGTCCTTTTCGAATTTGACCGATCATCATAATCGTATTCGGATTTTTGCATCTTCTTCCTGTGCGACAACCACAGCTTGAACGAAATGAGCGCCTTTCCTCGTCTTGACGCGTCAATCGTCATGGAACTCCAAGTACGCCTGCTTATCCTCCACTGTTAATCGAGCTTTACTACGTTTTCGCAGGAAAACGCGCGTTCCGACGAGATAGCCATACTAGGAGTTCTCGCCGCCGGTACTGTCGACGGTCACATAGAGCCTTTATTAGACGTAGTGAGACACTGGCTGTCAAAGTCCCCTTCCACGGTTGACAACAATAGCGCGCATGCCCAATACTCCTGCATCGAAGCCATTTGTGCATCGCTCGTATCCTGGAAGAAAGAAGTGCCCTGGAGTATGCAAGTACTAGCACCCATTTGGCCGGAAATTCTCCTCCCTTGGCTGGGACAGTTCTGTGCTCTCTTCACCGATCCGCCGAAGGATGGTCACCCCTACTTGCTAATCCGCTCGCAGAAGATATACTCGTACCTTTCTATCTTTCTTCGCCAAGTCACGTTGGAGATGCTGCCAATGGATTCAGTGTGTTTGCACTCGAGGCCATTCCAGTGGATATAATCAAATCCGTTATGCCCGCCTACATCCATGCTGCCGCCTCATCACTCGACGATGTTTCTGTCTTCACAGCGATTAGCGACGTGCTCCAGGCTCTCAGTAACATGCCGTTTGGCACACATCCCAGAATCTCCCCGCTCTATCTAGATATCCTAGACGGGACATCGCGCAGCCTCAGAACGCTGTGCTCCAAAAACATGGTGCATCATCTCAAATCGGGTTACGAACGGTACGACCACATTGTCGTGTTTGTTTCCTTATGCGGAACGGGCAGCCGCCGTTGGAGACGTACGTTCATGGCGCACAACATCATGACAGACATGATTTCCGCCACCAAACGCTTTCTGCGTTCTGTGGAACGGCAGGACACCACCTTTCAATCGCAATGGCACGGCGCCCGATGCATTCAATGTTTTCTGTATTTTGTCCAAGAGCTAACGTCGTACGAGGGTCTCCGGGGCGTCATGAATGCTCTGAAATGCAACATCATCTACTTCCTTCTTAAATGTGACGCCGTTCACGGGACTTCATTCACCGGCAATCATCCTATTAACGCGATCTTTGGCAACATCAGAAAATACATGGTCCATCCCTCCGTTCTGTCCTCGGTCGCGCGAGCTAGATATCACAAGTCTCGCCCCGTTTCCTCCAAACTCAGCGCTTCATGCTCGCGGCAAACGCAGTTCCACTGGTACTCGATGATGGTGAAGGAAGCACCCGTGTTGGAAACGGCAGTAACGAAAATGCTCGAGGAAATGCCAACGTTCTATCGAGAGTGTGCTAATCCTGAAGTGAGTGCGAATCGTGTAGCTTCTACCTTGACTCATGCTTGTATACAGTGTCCATCGCTACACCAGACTGCCCCGACTAAATGTTGCTTGGGCTGTCGACAAGTCTTCTACCATTCCGAAGCTTGCCAACGTGCGGACTGGCCGAATCATCGTGACGCATGTCTACTGGCTGCGGAACAGTTCCTTGGTCTGTACTCTTCACCTCGCGTTGGCACATTGCTCAACCCATTATTTCCTTCAGACGGCTCCTTCCCTCCACTAAGCAAGCATTGGAAGAATTGCCTCCATTGGTTTTTCCGCTACGAGGTGCTTCACAGACCTCGCAGCGTTGAATACAAAAAGCTGTGGCACGGCGTCGCAGATCAACCCGCGATTGGGGTGAACGATATCATGATCGTCCTGGATTACTCAACAAACGAGAAAACGATAGATATTATTTCTTCCCCTTACCTTGCGAGCGAATTCAAGGAACCAAGCGTTCTCATGCGCTGGTATATTCCATGGCATTCCGCGGACGGGCCACAACGTACATTCGGTGAGGCGTCGTTTCCGATTTCCAAGGCGGAAGGGTGGAATAGCGGATGGGAAAGTGTCGTACGCGAGAATGAAATCCTCCAGCCTTGTCTGAGCGGCTGTGAACTACCTATGTCGTCCATTGTTACCTTCCATCAAAAGTATAATCGACCTATGTTTCGCCTTTAGTTTCAATTTGATACCAGTTCGATACTGCATTACTTACTTCACCATCTAGTTCGATATAATCACTTGTCACTTCTTCTAGACAAGCTCTCAATGTCGTCTGCGGCGCTACAGCTATGATGGAATAATCCAGGCAGACAAGCAGCGTTGCACTAGCGATTCGAATTTCGCGAGAGAACGGTCGTGACGGTGACGATCACGTGATCTGACAGAGCGCGTCAATGTTTGTTCCAGGGCTTTGTTTACGACCACGATCAACCCCCTTTTGCATCCGCGGATTCGTCGACGACGACCGCAACATCCTCGAGCACGTCGTTCAAGACGACGACGAGAATATTTAACCGACGACGAGAATATACAACCGACGCTTAACGAGGCAATTCAACGACGAAGTAACAACGGCGGGATTCCACCGATTTTGATACAGTGAGCCCCTCCGTTCACCCGCCGCTATCGCTAACGTTCTCCAGTCCAGTATGCCGGAAAAGCATACCCTATCTGACTCGGGCGAGGAGAGTCCGTCGCCGTCTCCCCGCAAGGCCAAGCGGATACGACTCGCTCGCCTCAGCCAATCCTCCGCCACGAAACCTACCTTTAAATTCCCAATTCCCTCTACGCCAAGCCGAATACCACTCCCTAGTTCATCCCCAATAAAGGGCGCATACTCCCAATCTTCGTCGTCGTCCGTATACTCCCAAGCCCTGTCCCTGCCCCCTCCCACAGACTCCCCAAATAATCCCTTCGGTCGCATATCTACTGTGACTTTACGTTCATCGTTACCGGAGCCAATTGGATACGGCTTTCATCTCCTCCTACGCTGTCAGTTTTTTCGCAAATCCACTCCCAAGGGCGAGGGCACGTACCGCATCGTCCAAATGCCCAATGGATATACGTTTGCCCATCTGCGTCACCTTCTTGCCTTCATCTATGGCGGAGATGCCGACGGTTCGAGCCACTTGTTCGAGGTTCGTCGGAAAGTGACCATGTGCAATCCGATTTACAAGCTCGGGGCGGTCAAGAAAGGCACTGGAGAGCCATGGGTGCGCATCGCATGTGGAGGACAAAGTGACCCGTGGGTATGGACACAGTCTGGGTTCTCGACAGATTCAGAGGATGACGAGGTCGACGTCGCGAACCCAAAAACAGAGACGTGGCGGTACGAACCCGAGGATGCTTTCACATTGAAACATCTTTGGCCAGATGCACACAACCCCGACGCGTCCCTCGCCATCATATACCACCACCACCAGGCGATGTGCAAATCCACATTCGATATTCGAGCCGAGGAAGAAGCTCCCGGATGGGACTTTGTCTCTGGAAGGCATAGAGGCTTTTCAGCGGATGGGGTTCGGCAACGATCCGCACGTCTTTCGTGCCAGAGGGCGTGTGTTTTTGGATTCATCTAAAAGGAAATTTGACGAGCCTACGCGGGATATGTGCTCTGACGAGGACAGGAAGAATGGAATACATATGGTGCATTCGAGGCGTACCTACGCGAGCACGCAGAACCGATTCATGACTGGGAAGAGGACGACGAAGAGACGAGCTCGACGCGCCTGGCACACCTAGCTTGACGTGGTCAAGCTCCCCGTCGTCATCGCCCTTCAAGACGCTCTTATCTTCAGTCGCCAGACCTTTACCCACTACTCTCTTTCCTAAAGCGGCATCCTCACCTATCCTACCCACCCCCGCGCCTCTCCCAGGTGCACGTAAACGACTGGAGTACGTTCGAAAACGAATTCGACAGGACAGTCTCAAGCAGGAGAAAAGTGAGGAGGAGAAAGCGGCGCGGAGGAAGGCAAAGCAACTGAAGAAGCAACGTCAGATTGAGCGGCGGCGGAAGGAGGTGGAGGCGAAGGAGAGACCGATTAGAGAGGCGCAGGAGAGAAGGCGGATGAGGCTTGTTCAGACTAAGGAGACCCCGTTAAAGTCGGCTTTCGACGAGGTCGACGAGCTTGATACCCTTGGCACTCCGAGTACTGAGGTTAATGATGGTGATGCGCCGGAGAGCGAAGAGAAGGTGAAGCAGCCGCGGAGACGCATTTTTAGGGCGAGGTCGGTCGAAGTTTGATTATGATTATGACTCGTGTTTATAGCTATCGAATTGTATATACAAGTAAGCCACACTGTATCTTTAGATTTCCTTCGTATTGTCGTCAATTGGAGTCAAGTTGTCGGGAAGGTCCATCCTGATGTGCTTTGTATTTTACGAATATGGAGATGCTTTTCTCTGGCCTTGAAGGCCAAGTGTCAATACAGACGGCCCCATTCTTATAGATGAGATGCGTCTTTGGGGATTTTCTGATGAGAAGTTGGGCTTCTTTGCTAACTCGTCCTTCAGAGCTCGAGTCTTATGCTTCCCGCCGTCCAACTCTCTACTATGTTACCAGTGTGCTACGTTGTGTGTTCAAGTATAGGTTAGGCTTCTATCCTAGTTCTTGGGTGCTTGGAATTTGAGTTCTCCCCTTCCTATCGTCACTTCAAGTTTCAACTCACTCGGCAGTTTGAGTAGCCAGACCTGTCACTTTGTCATTCTACGATGACAATAATGTTCTTTTGTTTTTGGCGCGTAATACCACCCTGTTTGGGGTTATTGAATTTAATTAAAAGTATGGAAGCAGCTTTAGCGTGGTCATTTCTGGACAAGAGAAATGCGGGATGGCGATTTGGAGCTAACAATTGCACAAACTTTGATCTTCCACCTCGAATCATTGTAGATGAATGTATCTTTAGGTCTATATCACTTGCAGATTGAGTTATTGTTTAACGCCACGCATAGTTTTTGTCACAGAGGGGCAATTACGAGGGCACTTCCATGGCAACTTGGCCGAGTGGTTAAGGCGCTGGAATTAGGCACGTTTGTGGCGCGATCCAGTCCTTCGGGGCGTGAGTTCGAACCTCACAGTTGTCACTGGCCGAAGATGCATAATTTGAGCTTTTGCGTCCCACTGAATGTTGATCCGAATCGGCATCCACGTTTTTTTTCCTTTTTACCCCCATGACGAGCTAATGTTTAGTCTCTTCCTCGGTCTCCTCCTTGCCTTGCCGCTACTTTATTTCCTCCCTCGACTAAGTTCGTCACCTACACGGATATTCCTTTGTTTGCATTCAGTCGTACTCCTGCATAATCTCATAATACATCCGCCACCCAATGTCTTTACCCGCCTGCACCTACCGCTATCGACGCCGACGGACGTGATACGCGCCATACTTTTGAAGCATTCTCCGGAACCGAATTTGCCGGCCCATTTAGAGCAGCTGCTTGCAAAAATGAACAGCTTTGACACGAGAACGTTATACGTAAGGTCAGTAAACGCTATAAACGAAGTGTTGCCGGTGCTTACGACAAGATAGATTCGGTCACGAAGCAGTGGCAACGTGCGAATATTGCCATTCGTACACCGACTTTGCCTTTCATTCCTTGCCTTCTGCGGCCATGGCTTATGTTCGCGAAGTAGCCGTTGTTGGGGTACGTCTATAAAGGAGGAGTCAATTCTGCCAAGTCTAATATTCCGTTCTAGTTGGTTACGATTCGTGGTAGTGGTCGCGAACATCTACGTGTTGTGGGCATCAGTGCTCTTGCCGCTATAGCAGTGTTAGAGGTCTATTTTCGGTCATCGGCAGTCATCCAGATCAAGGAGGGTGACAACGTCTTCATGGTGCGCAATCTGCATATATACACATCAGACGGCTCTAACCCATCTTTTTACAGTGGAGCGACAGGCTCGCAATATTCCGCGCTCTGCTTTTCATCGTGCTCCCTCTCGCAATCGACTTCCTCCCACCCCGTGCCCCTTCTGCAGCACCACATCCGGCCGAGCAGGCGATGCAGTCCCTCATCACGCGTTTGCACGCCCTCAAATACTATCGGGGCGCAATCATGCGCACGCCTTCGCTGAATGACGCCGCAAGCGCGTGGTGGGGACGCGAGCGTCAGGACGGAGAGCGGATTCGGGCGACCAGCGTGTGCAGGATGTCGCCAGAGGCGTGGGTCTACCTTTTGAAGGGGACGATCCGAGGCTTAGGACGAACGCGCGCGCGATAGCTAGGGAGTTCGTGGCAGCAGGACTCCCGGCGCCCGGTCAAAACTAGGATCCTGTACTTTTGATCACAATTGTAGATGTGAAAACGAGGCGATGGCGTGATTGTGCTGACCGCTAAGTATCCCTGGGCGTAGGTGAGTGAAGCACTGGACCATGGATTTATTGGCTGCAACCCACCGCATTGCGGCGGCACTAATAACGACTATGCCCCCGATTTTGAATTCCACAACCAAGTGCGACGAGCGTTCTTTTAAATACGTCCCATGTCACTCAAGGTGACACACTTTTTTTGTGATATCATCCACCTAACTTACTGGAGCATACTTAGGTCTTGCGAACGCGGCTGCAGATTCATCCATGATCTCAAGAGCGTATCTGTTGCGGGTACTCTCAGTAGTAGGAACAGTTTTCCCTGCCCGTTATGGGAATGACCCCCCTTGAAATTTAGATACGATCACTCTTAGGTGACTACTCGGAATACTGATCGTCTGTGGAAAATCCATACAGGCCCACCAGCTATGTCTCGTAGCGGTTCTTTACAGGGTTGCTGCTAGTATTCATTTACTGTCAGTTGCCTGTCTACATGACAAGTGCGTTCACATCTGTCATTCATCCTGTCATTCTCAAGGGAAAATCCGGCTGCTCGACTGTGGCGTGCCAAGAGTGCTGTATTTCATTAAGGATCTAGACAGCGTCTCCTTTTCTATAGGCAGGATCGACCAGGATTGACACGACAAAGGGATAACGCGGGTTGACTGCCATTTGCTCCCCACATACGTCTGGTTTGTTGACGGTGTGGCACGCTTATACGATCGATCGGGAGATGAGCTCTAGCCTTCATGTATGGAGCACACATACACATACATCTTTCATGACCCATACTGAACCAAATGCACGGTGCTCAGGCGAAAGGGATACACCACAGGAGACTACGCTTCTTTCTAGGCACGTAGGAACGCTTTGACTGGCCTTCTCGACAATAAGAAAATCCTTCTTGATCGACAAACGACCCCTTCCGTTACATCTCGAACTTTAGGAGGGTCGGCCACAAGGCTCATTCTGATGGAGGATGCGGATGTCATTCGATCGAATGCATCGTCGAGTATAAAGACTCATCCCCGAAGCACTCGTCTCTCAACGCTTTTGTTCTTCCGATCTTTCCAACCTCACGTTTCTTGCTTTTCACGCCCTCAGGCATCACGTTCTTTTTTTCTACTACAACGGAACTCGTACATCGATGCGCATCTTCTCTACTATTCTCACCCTCGGTCTTTTCGCCGCCGCCACGGCCACGGAAATCGAGGGCCTCGTCCGACGCACTGGGGGACATCTGATTTCTGTGGATGCTTCTCTGGCGCTGTCAAAGTCCGCTCGAAGAGCAGCAACAACCAAGTCGACTGTGGTTCCATCTCCAGTAAGTCGCGCCCCCCACATCGACGTGCTTCGCATCCCAAACTCATTTCGCGTCCAGCTGAAATCTGTATCTGCATAAGCCAGATCAGCGACTGGCTGAAAGTCCACGACGTTGGCAAGGTTATCCTCCAGCGCGGTGGCATCACCAACGCTATCACCTGCGTGACTGATTTGGTACGCCCTATTCCTTCTCTTCTCTCACACCCAGAATCTCACCCACCCGGTCCATTATATATAGATCGGCAAAGACAACCGCCACAAGAAATGCGACTTCCCCAATTTCAGCCACTCGCGGTGCCACAAGGACGACGTGTGCGACTACGACTGCGAGGGCGAGCTCGTGCGCTTGGGGCCGCAGGGGAGCCAGTACTGCGGCTGCCCGGGGAACAAGAACAAGTGCGGCAACCAGTGTCAGCGCCAGGCGTGCCCGTCTGGGCTCCCGCAGAAGAGGGATCTCGCGTATTGGGGCAAGAAGACGCAGCAGACGTGCAGGCCCGGGTTTACGGCGTGTGGCGTCTTTGGGGGTGGACCGAGGGATTGGGAGTGTGTGGATACGAGGAATGATTTGGAGAGCTGTGAGTCGTCTCCTTTTTTCTGTCAGGTAGAGTGTTACTGATTAGAGGGTTTATAATAGGCGGCGGATGTGCCATGGATTTGCTCAACTCGCCTAATGGACACGGGCTGGGTGTGGATTGCACAACGCTTCCGGGTGTATCGGATGTTTCGTGTGTGGCGGGTGGATGTGCGGTGCATAGGTGTCTCCCTGGGTATAAGATCTCGCGCAGTGGGCAGCATTGCGAGGAGGAGCAGGGCATTCTTGGGGAGGCGATGCGCATTGTTGAGGCTGCTGCTGTGATTGGGCAGGAGTATTCGCCGTTTTGAGATTGCGTTTAAAGGGACGGTCCTGTGCGCTCTCATTCATAATTGGTTAGGTTATATTTGTAGGATCTTCTTGTGAAATATATACGGATTGGGAGCTTTCAGTGGACTTTCCATTTTTTTCGTCTTGACTCCATGCTATTCAGGTAAATTCTAATACGCGCCTTGGATCCCACAACCGTGCTCATGACGCGTCAATATCAAATCATCTGTACGTTGTACCAGATTCAGAAGGTCAATGGTGAGTCTGGTAATGGCGCAAGAAGGAACTAATCCATGTGACACAGACACATGCGCTATCGGGGACCTGTGGATGCCCTTAATGGCGCCAGCATCATCCATGATCAGTGTGAGAGTTTCTGTCCATGTGTTCTAGGCCCCCTGCGGACCTGCCGCACTCAGGAATTCTCCGAGAGGCTTGTGGCGCGCGCTCAGCAACTTGCAGTTGTAGATTGTCTCCATCCTTCACGCGATTTTCAAAAGACATTTATAGTAGGTTACAGTGCTTAAGTGAGAAGACCTGAATCTATCCCTTCATCGTAATCGTCGAAGTCGTGAAGAGTAATGCTTACGCCTGGCGTTTGACGTAGTACCTCTACCGTAGACGCCTCGATCGGCCAAGATCCCCCAGTAGACCACACTGTAAGCGTGACTGAACGAACTGCGCTGCGCTCTAACCTGCTCAATATCACACCGGCGAACACTTCATCAATAAACGCGTACTCATCCCAGCCCGCGTTCTGGTGGCGGTCCTCCAGTACAAGTTCCAAGACTTGAAGAGACGGAAGAAAAGTGAAAGCACCGTCGTTCTCTTCCTGCAATGAATCAACAAAATCTTGTAGGAGCTCATCCGCTTCATATGTCCAACGCAAGGGGCAGAGTGTAAGCTCTTGTAAACTGCCAGCTACCGACCCGCGTAGGATAGGAAACAGTGTAAGGTCCAAATCCACATTCCTGAGTACGAGAGTGACAAGTGGGCACCGAGACAGTTCCAACATAGCATATAACGTTTCGGGCGGATAGGATTCCAGAGGAATGTTGTAGTCGCTGAAATCACCAACTATAAAAAAGGTGAGTGAAGGGAACAGCAATGAGGTCAGGAAGGCAGGATCGCTGACTCGAAGCTCAGTAACGAGCGGCTTTGGGATACGGTCACAGGAACCGATGCGCGGAGTGTAAGGAGCGGGGGAAGTCATGTATTCAAAACAGGAGAGGGTATCCGAACGCTCCAGAGCCTCGAGATAACGCAGGCGCGTTGTGAAATCTGGTGCCTGCTCAAGATGTATGTTGCTCCATCGAAAGGAAGTGAGGCGAGAGATATCAAGCGAAGGTACACGGGTGATCGGGAAATTGCCCAAATCCATGTACTGAAGCTTGGGGGCGTCTCGGAATGCAGATGCTGGGTCAATATCATCAGATGTCTTGAGGACACCTAGGAACAATGTCCGAAGGCAGCATGGTCTGCTTCGTAGGCTCTCAGACCACTTGCATTCTCGTTCGGTGCATGTTTGAGCATCAAAGGTTTGCCAACGATCCGAGTGCTCCCCGAGAAGTCTGTAGACTTCGTCCACCAGGG